ATGACGAAAAAGCTATCACCATGTTACGTCACTATGAAACTGTAAGTACAGCAGCAAAATATGAATTACATACAAGTTGTATGTATATACTAAAATTCATATCATTTATACATTCTCTTAGTACAAATTTATTGGGCTATATTGTGGTGGTTTTATTGAGGCACCATTCATACAACGTGGGGCTCAGAAAGCTTCTTGTAGGTATTTAATTTGCAATTTCAGGGGATGAGATACCTGCAAATGTATACATTGCTATATATCCATTTTTTTGTAAAATAAAAATGACTGTCTTAATTACAAAAGTTTCATAAAAGTATTCTCCTCGTGCACAATAAGGCATATATTGTCGTCATGGCCCTATAATAATTCAAAATAAACACAATGTCACATAAATGTATATACATGACTAGTAATTGCAATATAACTGTGGGTATGCGAAACAGTTTGAGCTAAAACTATGAATCGATAACACCAGACGCTCATGCTGGACGTTGTAGATATATGCGTTGGTTTAATACGTTATTTATTCATATGAATCTCAAACTATGAAATTACGATTACACTTTGAATTGTATAAATAGTTAAAGATTGGTTTCTTTCAGGCAATGGCTATTTTGAATCAGGACATAACTCAAAACACTGAACCTGGGCAGAAATTTGCTCAAGGTAATAATTAATGTCGGAAATTTATGTGATAACAATTCATAGCATTTTGCGATGGAAGCAATGGCTGGGTGAACATATTTTATAGCCTTGAATTTTTGTATTAATCTTGTATAATTTGATTATGCTGATATGTTATAAATGTATAATACTTGTATGTATTTAGCACCACTTCGGCTGATGTAATTTGCAGTACAATTAGACAGATGTCTTCATTAATATTAGTATGCATGCTTTTCCCCCTTTCTAATGTGATCAGTGTCTACCTAATTCACTATCCCGGGCTGGTTATTGTCGACATTTCCAAGAGTCGATTGGTACTAGCGATAGCTTTGCTTGCAGTCCAGTCAGCCAGATGTGAACAGCACTTGCATGTTATCGCTTATGAAGCAACGCGTTCCACCACCAAGAGAATCGCATCATTCATTCCATGAACATCTTAGTTGAACTTACCTGGTTGTCTTAATAATAGGTTGACCCATCCCTCTGTGAACAATATGAACAAAAGCTATATTTAATTCATGCTAATGTAATACTTGTGATATTTTACAGCTTTGAAGGCATGGCATGATTTTATACGTGCCATGATTCAACATCGACGAGATAATCCACCAAGCGATGACGATTGGACTTTTATTGATGTTTTGATGGCAAAATCATCGTCCGAAGAAGAACTCATATCAGATGCTTCAACGTACTTCATTGCAGGCTATCAAACTACAGCTTTTTGTAATTAACATATTTTCGTTATAACAGACATGTTACACATGTTATGACATACATTCGAACATATCTGACGTAAATTATAGAATGACAAATTGTCATACTATATTGATGTTTGATGGTGATTTATTATATTATATTTCAAAAATTGTGTATCTATCCAATCACAGTGATGGTGTGGACAATCTACTACATGTGTGAGAATCAAGAAGTGCAGGAAAAAGTATACCAGGAAATAATCGATGTTATTGGCAAAGACGAACAAGTAAACCATGTAAACCTTGAATCACTGAAGTGAGTTATTCCATGTTTTTTATTATGTATGGGGTAAACGTGAATTGTTGACTAAACTGTCAACAGTGTTCAATGCCTACAACGTCATGGGTTCAGCTAAAAATTCGTGACTTTAGTCAAATTTACGAGCTCTTGTGCCAACAGCTGTATTGTGTATGGAGAATGCACACCGACAATTACTAGATGGGCATGTGAAATTCTAATGTCCAAAGTCACAAACCACATGCAGAATATAATTCTGCATGCATATGAAGTCCAGTATATTCACGAATTACCTGAACTATTACTATTACATTGATATCATATGATTCAATTTGAATGCTGGATATCAGTTTTGTCTTTCTTTGTTCATTCAAATTTACATGTAAATGATGACACAACTTCATGGTGATGTACTGTCGGGTGGACAGACTGAATAACGACTTATACCGCA